CTAATAATTAAACCAACAATGTATATAGTTAGTGTCATCATGCATGTGACATTATTAGATTTGTATCTGAAAGTACTTTTGTATGTTGTCTATTAATAATATACTCCGTATTATGAAAACACGAATGGTCAAGAGACTGTAAAAAAACGTATACTTTTTTGCAGTTCTGCTAAAGAGTATTAAGGCATGTTCCTTTTTTACTTTGGCTCGATAGACATAGATTAAAAAAATGTGAGTTTTCCATGGAGAAAAGGCCTGCAGATTGTCCAGTATTTTTTTATTTAATTCAATATAGATGAAAAACAGGAGTTTTATATGGAACAAGAAACATAAACCTTCCTTCATTTTGTTTCTAAAAAGACAACCTGCTGCTAAAAATGCAATTGAAGAAACCTCTATACAGAAACAGTGTCTAAATTTTTCACATGATACAAATACAAGATTCCGCAGCTATATCGATTTTTCAGGAATAGGAAATTCATGCCTAGACAAAAATGGCGTCCGAATTACACTTATTGGCCATCATCACTCATTAACACGACACCCTAAACCGATGCCTAGTGAAGAGATCAGAAAAATTCAGAACAGAAGGGAGAAAAATGATAGCAGCATCTATCAGCTTTTTTCCTCTCTGTTTCTACCACTTTCATTTGGCCCCCAATCACATGCTCAAACAGTCACCGGACAAGCCTGCTCTATCTAACTCTCCCTTTCGATTTCACGAGCAATGATGCCTCGAGGCTCCATGCATCCATGCGTGCATGTCCCTGAACACACTACTCCAATCTTTCATCTTTTTGGTGTTCAGTTCAAGCTTCTAACTCTGAAATTCTCTCTGCAATTGTAGTTGTAGGTCACTGTCCCTGTAGTCTGCATCTTTGTGTGCATGTCTACTTGATGGTGGACAGGTGGATATATATCGATCAATCGATTGATGCAACCATATGCCCCTCCCATCTTTGGATTTCAGTGATCACATCATCAATGGAATCGCTAATTGCTTTTCTTTCACAAAAGTAGGGAGGGGTTTATCTGAACCAACAGAGTATTGGAGCTAAGCATATGTACTGATTCATGCATGGATGGAAATCGTTATGAAGTGTCGAATTAAATTTAAAAATATATTGTTTGTTCGTTTTTCTCAGAAATATTCAGGATGCAATTTTTTTTACAGAAATATACCGTCGATTTCGCACAACAGTTATACGAAAATGACACAGACATGACGTCGCGAGCAGTATCGTACTGTGAAAGTGCGACCACGCGGTCTCACAGAATGGTCTTGCCGATGGAAACAGCGACACCGTCTCGCTGATGAACGTCTCCACTTTAAAGGTAATTAAACACTAATTAACCATTTGAATCACTATAGCAGTCCGGTATCGTTGTCTGGTTCAGCGAAACCGTTCAGTCTCACTCTTCCATTCCGCGAGACCGTGCGCGACGTTATTTTCATGCAATGATTGTACGATATCGACGGTATATTTCAATAAAATGATTTGCATCCCGAATATTAAAAAAATTGAATGAACAGTATATTTTTAAATTTAATTCATGATATGTCCACACAAGGCTTTTTGCGTGTTTCATCTAAGGAAAGAAATCGTTACGAAACGTCACTGACAAGGCCGGGCTCGCAAACTGAAAGAGAGCACCCACCTGTTTGCATGTCTGGGCTTCGCTCACAGTGTCTTCTTTATTACTCCCTATGTGTCTAAATATTTAACGCTGTTGACTTTTTAAACATGTTTGACCGTTCATCTTATTCAAAAAATTTAAGTAATTATTAATTCTTTTTCTATCATTTGATTCATTGTTAAATATACTTTTATGTATACATATAGTTTTACATATTTCGTAAAAGTTTTTGAATAAGACGAACGGTCAAACATATTTAAAAAAGTCAACAGCGTCAAACATTTAGGGACGGAGGGAGTAGAACTAAATGGAAAATAAAAAGAAACTTTGTTTGTAGATGGATCACTTTCCTCCCATGAGCACTGCATCTTAATTTCGTTATGATGAAATTAGGACACGATGAGGCAATCATGTCCCAAGCCTAGCTAGCAGTGTACTGATCCCCTTTGAAGGCTAGATGCAAACCTGTCACCTTGATGGAAAATTACATCTGGCATTAGGGCAACCACAATTGTGGGCGGGCCAGGTGTCGCTTAGCGAGGTCATGCTTGTTTTCTTTTATCATGATATGAAGAGCCAAACATGTTGTGACTTATGAGAGCCATGCATTAGCTATAATGGTGACAATAGGCAAGTAGGAGTGGTGGTAGTACAAGTAGTTGTTAACTTAGGCACATCTTCACGACATGAAATGTAGGGCCAGATGGTTAACTAAGACTGCACAACAATCAAAGTGACACTAATTATTGGTGCTTGGGTATGGAAATTAAAGTAGAGTGGTAGTATATGTGTGGATAAAGATGGAGAGTGGGTCTGGATCAGTAGGAATTTAGGAGAAGCCTTGCATTGGAAGGCACAAACCCAAGAAAGAAGCCAGGTTTTGAGCCCACTGATCAAACTTTGGAGACAATTTGACATGCTCTAACCCACCAGCTTGCAAGATTTTTATCATTGCTCTCAGATATGTTGAAAAAGCTTTAGGCCGGAATCTGATTCTTGCTGGCCCCCAAGTGGTTGTAACTGATGAATCATGTAAGCAAACAAATATGGTTGTCTCCAAAGTCATAGTGGAAACCAGGAATAAAGTTGTGGCAGTGATTGAGGTTAATTTCTCATTATTAGAAGGAAAATGTCCACTTAACCTCATGTAGTTTGGTTGGTCGCGATCGACTTAACACCTCAAGTATGAAGACAGATGTGAAAGGGCATATAGCCTAGTGGTTGCAGTGACCTGAGTAGCACCCTAAGATACTGAGTTCAAATTTTCGTAGAAATGAATTTTAGATTAGGCTATTTGAGGGCTAAGTTTCTATTTTTTTTTAAAAAAAAAGATGCATATATCATCCTCTAAATATGAGAAACAGTTCAAAAGATGTTCTATCCTCTAAATATGAAAATCAGTTCAAATAACATTTATCCTATCAGAAAGAAAGCTTGGGGGGGTGGGTAAAATGGTTAATGCGTTTCTGCATAAACAATACCATCCACATAGAAAAACTACTCACAAACTCATCCCTAGGGGTTGCTTAAACCGGTTTTCATATATTTTCGGGTGAATAGTCAGCACGGTCTTTAAAGTTTCACTCTATAGTCAGTTTAGTCCTTTCAGTTTTAAATCGTCCAAACAAATTCTTCAAATTTATCATTTGATTTAAGATAGTCCTTGGACCCATAAAAACGCCGTGTGGGTGTGCCACTCATTCTTGCATGCAAGGGTAGACATCAAATAACCATTCTACCATATATAAGTATATAACATGGTAAAAAGAGAGAAAAAGGAAAAAATAAAACAAACAAAAAATTGAGGGTAGAATGGTTCGGCCTCTTTTGGTTCATTTCTTTTATTTCCTTTTCTTGTTTTATCATGATGTATAAGGGTAGAATGGTTATTTAATTTCTGTGCTTGCATGAGATCAGGAGGATGTGGCATGCCCATGTGGTATTTTCGATAAGTCTAATGATCATATTAAACAAAATGATAAATTTTGAGAGCTCGTTTGGACAATTTAATTAAAACATTAGGGAGTAAACTGACCCTAGAATAAAACTTCAAGGACCGTATGGTCTGTATCGGTTGATCCACCCTTTTTAAGTAGCATTTGATGTAATACAAGAACCTAACCTTTACTATAGTGGTTATTCTCACAATAAATAAATAAAATAACGTGATGGTCCATATATCTATGTTTAGATCATCCAACATTACAGAAAACCAACTTTAGTTTTTTTTTAATAATGGATATCATTCCCACCTTCTACATCTCTCATACATGCAGGGGCGGATCCAACGTGAGTGTAGGGGGGACTTGAGTCCCCGCTACACCCACAAGACCCATGGATATCCCCGAAGCACCCCTTCGATTTTTTTACCATGAATGATAAACGAAAAGTCTCTAAATGGCTAGAGGTTGAAGAAACTGTATAATCGAGCCCCTCAATTTTTTTTTTGTTCCTGGATCCGCCCCTGCATACATGGATGTGAACACAGTCCTCCAAACATTAGTTGTCAGCCCGGCTGGATATTGGAGCTATAGCTTGTCAGGGATCAGGATGACAGCAGCTGGCTAGAAATGGACCGTTTGTTTTTTCTTTCTTGGACTCCATGATAGCCTCCAAGATAATAGGTAGGTTGGTGTGATGATGGAACTTGTATGTATGTTTGGTGTGATGATGTCCATTTCTATCAACAATGACACACAGTACTGATGGATTAGTTATCATGTTATAGTCAAAGGTCCTGTTTGCGAGCTGACATCACAGACACAAGCACCACATAATAATCAGGGCCAATTAGGAGCTAGTAACATTAGTAATTGTTCTTAATCCTATGGAGATAATGCTATTAGTGAACTTACAAGTCAGCAAAGCACTATGCTGACCTTCTTGCTCTGAATATTCAAGTGATAGACTTAGCATCTATACTGCAAGTAGAACCTTACAGTGAAAAAACAGTGCGTGTTTACTCTGCTGTTGACACTCGTGACTATGGTACACTTATCTAGCTTGTAGAGAGAGCTTCCAGAGCTAGTTAATCAAAATTTGGGTTTAGGACACTAGCCTAGCACACAAATTTGTAGTTGCAGCATTGCCAAATGTTTTGGACAAAACAATCTCAGTTACTTGGACCAAGAGGCCCATGCATTAAAAGAATCGGACTGGGCCTAGCAGTTGGGCATTTGGATGCCATCTCGGCCCTTTTCAGCAAAATCTATGGCCCAGTCATGTACTACCTCCGTTCCATATTACTTATCTTTTTTAGTTTTTGTTTGTCAATGTTTGATCATTCGTCTTATTCAAAAAAATTTAGAATTATTATTTATTTTGTTTGTCATTTGCTTTATTATCAAAAGTAATTTACATATGACTTATCTTTTTTTATATTTGCACTAATTTTTCAAATAAAACGAATGGTCAAACGTTGCAAATAAAAAGTCAAAAACGTCATCTATTATGGGACGAAGGGAGTACAATTGTATGCTTAAGATTGGTCTTTTTTCTTCGGATAAGTTCACTCTGGGTCCCTCTATTTGTCACGCTGTCTGATTTTCATCCCTCCGACACAAAACCGGGTACGACGGGTCCCCGAACTTACAGACCCAGTTCAAAGTAGGTCCTAAGGCAGTATTGTGAGCAGTATTGCTGACGTGGCGTCCGACGTGGAGCGTTGACTCGGTTCACATGCCGACTCGGACGGCCACCACGCCACCATGAGCAAGGAAGAGGAGCAAGAGGAGATGGGACTCACGACGGCGGCGAGGGAGATGGAGAGCGTCTGAGCGTGCAGGAGATGCACGGGGAGGCAGAGGCGGAGACGGTGGAGGAGGAGAGGACGCCGCGGACGAGGGCAGAGTAGGTGCCATGGAGCTCCACGGGAGCCGGGAGGGGTGCGCCGACACCAAGGCCCTGGAAGAAGCGCTGCGTCCAATCGCGGGACTCCACCAATGAAGGCTTCCACGGCAGGAAGGGCGACGGCGGAGAGGGAGCGGAATCAGGCCGAGCAGGCGGAGTGGAGCGGCTGCAACGTGGGAGAGGATGAAGACAGAGCAACCGCGCCGGGGTCGGATGTCTGGGGCGAAGACAGTGCCCCGGTGGCCGGAGGATCACCCTCTCCTCTAGTCCTCTTAAGGAGCACGACCGGCAAGGAAGGACTACTGGCGCGGCGGCCGCGCCGGCGGTTGGCGAGGAGGAGGGTCGGTGCAGCGGGACACGGCGGAGAGGAGGGGCCGTAGCACACGGCAGGCGGAAGACTCCTCGCGCCCTTCTCTTGCCCCGCACGCGCTCCATGGACTCTCCTCCAAGACACCGTTCGCCGGCGACGTGTTTGTCGGATCGTCGGCGGGCGGAGCGAACCGACGACGGCGACCCCGGTTGGAATCGACGACCGAGGGAGGTGGAGGCAGACGAATTATTGTAACAGAAATAACGGAAGCGGTTGAGACTTGAGAGTTGAGACCGTTTGGCGGCTGCGGTTGGTTGACGACGAAGTGCAGCCGGCCGTTGTCATGGCGCTGCCATGTGCGGCACGACTCGCAGCCACAGTCCGACCACCTTGGGCTCTGCCCCTTGCGCCACTCCGTCTCCGGCGACCCGCTCCTACCCTGAGGAGCCCCATCTGCGCGTGTCGGCAAGCGCTCCGCCAGTGGTACCTTGTCGTCCTCCAGTGCCGCGCGTTGTGGCTCCCGTGGCAGTAGCAGCTGGCTGGGTTGTCCTCGAAGACGGAGTAGAGGAAGCCATACACGAAGCAGAGGAGCACGTCAACAACGTCCAGGAAGGCGAAGACGACCATGTCTTGTGCGGGTTGTTCACCTGCGCACGCGCCTCTCATCGCGCAGTGTTCGTCGCCTCCGCCGCCAGCGTGTGAGGGGAGGCAGAGGGTAGGGGAAGGGTTACGGCGCTCCCTTTCGCGTACGGATCGCCCCGCCGCCGAGCTTACGCGCCGATCCCTCGCCGCGCGGTGGTCGTCGTCGGCTGCTTTGGTTGGCGGTGGCGGCCTTGCTAGAAGTGGGCGCAAACAAAGAAGGCCGTTGCGCGTCCGCGGTGGCTGGCTAGTCGATGGCGGCCACGAGCGTTGTCGGAGAGGGGAGAGAGATGAAGAGAGGGCGATAGGGAGAGAGGAGGAAGAAGAGAAGGGGGTGAGAATGACATGTGGGGCCCACGTGGGCCCACCATTTTTTTAATTTGTGAATGAAACTCACATGTGGGTCCCACGGGGTTTATTATTTTTGGATGGAATTGCCACGTAAGCGCCACGTCAACGCCACATAGGCACTACGTCAACCAAAACCGCTGTCAATACTGCCGAGTGACCTTGTTTGCATGGTTTTGTAAGTTGGGGGATGCGTTGTACCTGGTTTTGTGCTCAAGGGACGAATTTCGAACTCGGTGACAAATTGAGGGACCTCAAGTGAACTTAATCCTTTTTCTTCTTCCCCTTCCAAGTAGGCAAAAACTAGAAAGGAGTAAATTCCTGATGTTACCATGTAAAATTCAGCTTCAGCATTGCTGTTTTTTCATATACAAGTACATTGCTCTTACTAGTTTTATTTCTTTACTAGGAACCAAAACTGTAGCCCAACACAGGCCAGGAGTTACTCCATGGCACAAAAGTAGGAAGGAAGCTATGTGATTTAGAGTAGTTGACATGCAGGACAAATGCATGTGGTGTTCATGTGGAGCATCAATCAGTGTAAGCTAGAACCTCCTGGGCTAGCTTCTTGTAAGAACACTCTCAGTGGTGGTAGGGAATGGAATAATAATTGAGGTGGTTGCCCTTGCCCATGGTCTCAAGACAAATTCATAATGAGAAGGGAATAAACCAGGCATTGTTAATCATTCAGTAGGGGCTTTCAGGGGGAAACCAGCCTTGGATTGGGGTCACCTTTCTCACTCTTCTGTTTCTTGGTTTCTTTGGGTCACCTCTTTGCTTTGCTCCTTTGTTCTTCAGTTGCAGGTGTAGTGGCTTTCACTTCAACCTGATCTCCAACTTATTGCTAGTACATGTGTACAGCTACTGTAGAATCATAAAGTTTCAGAATTAGATGAAAAAAAATGCACAAGAGTGGATGGATCTCTGAAATTGTCAGTAGCAACAAATGCAATTACAGTTTTGTAGAGTCAGTTCTCTTGCTATAGATGAAGGTTTAGCAATAGGCGTTATAGGTGGTATTCTAAGTAGTTTTCTTGAGCTGTGATTTCGTAGTTTGCAGATATTCGTCCAGTAACCTCTGTAATAATTGGTTGTAACTTTTTAAAGCAAATGTTGGAATGAATTCCATATTAAAAAAAAGGCAAATTATCTTGCTGTAACTTGTAAGGTCTACATTCTAATATGGATACAGTTGCTCATCATACTAGAAACTGACAACCTAAACCTACGAAAAAAAAACTAAAAAACATGATCGGTTGATCATCTTTTGTCGCTTTCTACTACTTCGTCGCGGTGCAACCATAAATTCATACCAAAATACCCTAATATGATTAAGGTATTAAGCAGGAATCATTGGACAGCCAATCCATTGTTCTAATCTATCCAGCCAGTACAGTTAATCTGATCAAACTAGCTGTACAGTTTGACAATACAAAAATGGCCCATCCGACGTGGAACAATCGAGTAGTGCAGCTGCTAGCAGCTATAGCAAGCGGCAACAACTTTTTGGGGCCAATAAATAAGTATAGGAATCCATTTGTCACATACACAATTTAAAAATGCAATTGCAATTGCAATTGCTTTTGGTTAATTAGTGTTCATGCAGTTAGGTCACACGGCCGGAGCAACTGCCCCCAAAATTTATGTATTGCAGCACTTGGCACGGATGGTAGGGTCCAAACATTAATATTAATTTTTGGGATCTATGTTAATGAAGCACTGACAAGCTGGTCCTCTATGACCTGTTAATAACAAGATCATTAGGATGCTGGAGATGTTGCTACAGTTGGAGCACATAATCAAGGGTTTATGCCTAACTGAAAGCGTCGAAAATCACGCCGCGGGCTTGGCTTAGTTCTTTTCAAATTATTTACTGAATTGTTAAAATAGATTATTCAATCCACGCTTCGAAAAATTCATTTTGCTCGAAATTTTTTATTCTGTTGTATTGCTTAGACTATCTGTTTTAAATTATTTATTAAGTTTATTTATCAAAATATTTACTCTGTTCATACAACCAAGTAGATAATTCGCAGCAACAATCAGCTCAATAATGTGTTTCAAACTGAGCTATGTCTAGTCAGCTAATCATTCTTGGTCATCCTCTAGATGGTCTCAAGAAGAATCCAATCAGGCAGTTGGTTAAGAAATTAGGGTGAGAGTAGTAGACATGTTCGGTCTTCATCATCATAATTATTCATGGGTCAACACAGCCATGATCAGACAATCCAAGGGGGTTTAGTAGCTGTGCGATGTAATTTGTAATGAACAATGACCAAGATCTAGCAAGTGTTGTCTTCAGAAAAGGATTCAGGCAGCCGAAAGGGGGTGAAAAGTGCACTGAAAGAACATCTTTTTCTATGAAATCTGGAAGAACTTTTGTCTGTCCGTGGTCCAAGGTGATGAACCAGAAATTCTTCTAATAAGATTCTTGCTGACGCTTTATGCGGCAAATGGAGAGAGCAATAACTGTAAAAGATGCAGGTCTTGCACTTTGATGACGATGTCTTAGTGCTAATTCGAGTTGGATTTCCAACAGAGCTCAAAATTTCGAATTTGAACCGGCTGCCCTGCCATAAAACATTCACTTCAATTCCGGGCTGACATCAGGTACACAAATTTGGTGAACATAACTCTAACATTGCAGTAACTCCTGTTTCGCATCACGCACAGTAAATTAATATCAATCCTGCAGCCATTTGCAGCCAATAAGATGTAGATCTGTTTGGGGAGCGAGCCCCATCGTTTGACATATTAGAGAAAAAAGCGAAACAACAATGTATATTTGTAAATAAAAAATAATTTATAAATAAAATTTTTACATACCTGTTCTTAACGATCTAAGAGCAAAGACTGAAAAATAAACTACGATAAAAAAAAACTTCAAAATCATTTCCAAATTTAAGGTTGAAAATTCAAATCTTAACGGATAAGTATAAGCATAAAAAAAAATGAGGCTGTTGATTCTGAGAAACGGATGGTGGGAATCCAGTGGGTGAGAAGAAACCCTCAGCTTATAGCTTCTAATTTATTTTTTTTAGATTTTACAACTAGATTTTCTTAAAATCTAACTTTTATTTAAGAGAAACTGCAGTTATCGTAAGCTTACTTAAATCTAAATCAAGCAAGCAGCAAAAGAAACTTTTTCTGAGTTATATAACCAAAATTTAAAAAACTTTTCACTCCATTTTGAAAGTGAAATTACAGCTCAAGAAAGGACTGAGATGTGAGTCACTCAGTGAGCTGGCGAGCTAGCTAGGCCGGGACAAGGTTAGGTACATTCGGCGACTAGGGTGCAGTAACTAGAGTCAACTAATTAGCCACTAATTAACGCATGATTAGCGAGAGAATAATAATCACAGCCACAGTGCTGCAGTGGCAGCCCTAATCCCCCTCCTCTCCTGCATATAAATCTCTCTCCAGCTCGCCTTTGCACCATCGCCATTGCTGCATCCCAGCTAAGCTCGAGAGAGAAGCGAGAGAGAGAGAAAGAGAGAGAGAGGTTGGTGCATTGCGGCAATGGAGATCGAGGCGGCGAAGTGCGAGTGCTGCGGGCTGAGGGAGGACTGCACGGTGGAGTACATCGCCGGGGTGAAGGCCGACTTCGGCGGGAGGTGGCTGTGCGGGCTGTGCTCGGAGGCGGTGAGGGACGAGGTGGCCAAGAAGGGCGGCGGCGGCGGCGGCGGCGGGCGGCAGCTGGAGGACGCCGTCAGGGACCACATGTCCTTCTGCGGCAAGTTCTGCCGGAAGAACCCCGCCTTCCGCGTCGCCGACGGCATGCGCCAGATGCTCCGCCGCCGCTCCAGCGACATCTCCGCCCCCTCCGGCGCCTCCTGATCATCACCCATCAAGCTCCGGCGAGAGAGATCAAGCTATGAGCTCTGAACACGAAGACGACGACGAGCAATTAATGGCGCCGCGGCGGCGGAGCTAATTAAGCTAAGCTAGAGGCTAAGCTAAGCTTAAGCTTAAGCTGAAGGCTTAACGCCATTTTTAACCTCGAAATCTCAATCAATCAGCTGCCTCGTGTGGAGAAGGGTCTCCGTTGAGGTGGTGGTGCCAAGTGTGAAGCCTTCTTTGGCCTAGAAGATGGCTTCTTAAATCTTAATGATGAACATTATTGTTCGAGTTTTGGTTAATTGTAGCAAGGATGAGATTAATATTGATTCATTGTACAAGGAGATGAATAGAAGTTCAACCACTGCTGCAATGTAGTATTCAGTGGTTTCATGAATTCAATTAATTTGTTTATATTCTTATCACTTTTAGGATTGTACTCCATTTGTCTCAAAATATAAAGATATCTGAAGTTCTTCATGAAGATTAAGAAAATAGGCGAAATTGAATTAGGGATGATTTATGACTGTTGATGTGAGTAAGTATGTAGAACTTCACGGAGATTAAGAAAGTAGGTGAAATTGAATTAGGGATACTTGTTACTATTGATGTGAATAAATATGTGCAGAAATTTAATGAAAAATTGTTGCGATTGATTGAGATAAGAAAATAGATGGAGTAATTGTTCTATTCTAGAACAAAATTTGAACTCTGAAAGTTGATATATATTTTGAAATTCATTGGTTGAACATATGTAATATTGTCTCTGATCCACCCTGACTAAGGAGAATATCCTATCTTTGCAGTTTGCACTGAACGGTTCTGCCTTGGTTTCAGCGTAAAAATTAAAACGAGATCAGATTGTCTTATTTGAGATAATCTCTTTTAAATATTAGATTTGTTATAGCTGGCTTTCATTCTCATGAGATTTTATACAGACATACAGAACAATAAGATGAACTAAACTAAATGTTTCAAGTTATCCTGTTCTTCTACATCACAGGTTTCAGCAATTCAGCCTAGGCAGCTTTCAAGCCTTTGAGAGCTGATTGATTGGTACGAATAACTGGGCGGTAAGATGCACTAAATTCATAATTTCCGGCGAGCGCACAGACCTAAATTAGTCCCAAAATATAGTAGCTTCCAGTATTCAAATTTTTTTCTAAAATAATATTTTTTTCACCTATTTTTTCATCTCAACTATTCAGAACTATCTCTCATTGAATTTATCCACCTACTTTCTCATTTTAACCGATCAAATCATCCCATATTTAACTATACATACTTTCTAATACCCGTATGGATCTTCAGAAATCCACAGTCATTCTTTCGCATGAGAAATAGCAAAACCGTTTTTTCAGAAAAAACTAGAGAAACAAGTGTTCTGTGCTCTATAAATAGTCTTAGAAGTGTGGTGCAACATATATATAAAGATATACTCCCTCCGTCCTATAAAAAGTCCAACTTTGGTATTGGATTTTTTTTTATAGGGGGAGTACTGCTTTACTAAAGATGAAAATAAGAAAATCTGACTCTGCACTGCAGAAGTCACTTCAGATTTGGAAGAACTGTTCCAGATGCTTCATGCTTGCCATTGAGTAGCTACTGGCTAGCATCTTGTCTGTCACAGTTCTACTAAGCACAATCATGTTGGCTCATGTTTTTAGTACTACTACAGAGCATGCAAGGCCAAATGCCAATCATGAAAGGAAGATGATTTGCTGCCAATCAGCAAAAGGGAAAGAAAAAAGGAACAAAATAAAGAACTATGCTAGTAGAGGGACAGATGCTGAGTAGGACTCAGGTGCTTGGTTAGTTGGTTTGGCATAATTCAGGCTATGTATATACAGTAGTAGCTTAGGAGAAGGATAATCTAACCATTTGCTCCTTTGGAATACTTTGCATAATCTGATTCTGCCTGAGATGCCAAGCAGAAGGGATGGATCCAAAATGCCGAGTCAGATCCACATTTCAACATGTATTCCCCTATGTTAGGGTCTCATCAATGCCCCTGTGTATGCTTTGTTGGCTGCAATGATGATCATACCCTGTACTGAATGGCCAAGAAAGCCTAGATCCATGGAACAGTCTACCACCAGTGGTCATGTTCATGTAAGCTGTAAAATTTTCTTCAGATTAACATTATAGTAGATCAATTGTCCAACCTCAAGTTTTTACTAGGAGTTTGCATCTGTCTAAATACCTGTTTGTTTGATAGGAGTATGTCTCCGTCTCTAACTGTACTTTGGTCTAGACTTGGGCACATGATGGTGAAAGAGACTTGACCATCGATTTCTGTCGCGATGAAAATGGTATGTCTGGCAAGAGGAATGTAGAATTTCAGAAGCGCATTTGTGTCAGCTATGCTGCTGTTTCCATCTCTATTTTCACTTTTTTCTATTATTTTTGCTCGACAATAAAGAAGCCAATACCGGTTTTTACAGGTTATATCCCTGTTAAGTACTACCTCCGTCCCGAAATATAAGGGATTTTGTGTGGATGTGACATATACTAATACTATGATTATGAACAGACCCTCCATCCCGAATTAAAAGGGATTTTGTGTGGATGTAACACATCCTAATACTACAAATATAAACTACGAATATGAACAGACCTTCCGTCCCGAAATATAAGGGATTTTCGAAATATAAGGGATTTTGTATGAATGTGACACATTCTAATACTACGAATCTGGATAAAAAAGTATGTCCAAGTGTCACATCCACCTAAAATCCCTTATATTTCAGGACGGAGACAATATGAAACTATTTAAATTACTTTCATGATACTTGTATATTACACTGATACTAGAAATGTTTTCATAATATATAGATTGATCAATATATCCTAATAGAGAGTTATGGTCAACTCTGTATCAAAGAGACGGTAAAAATTCAAAAATGTAAAAATAATACATGTTTTAACAGTATTGATCAACATTCCTCCTATATAATGATATAAACTTCTAAGCTGGATAGTGGCCAGTGCTCAAATTGTAGTAGCTTAGTTCAGGTGCCTGGCCTTGCTGGCAAGGGCCACGACAGCTGCTATTTCAGGTTCAGAATCAAAGCTTCAAGTTTCAACCTCCCTTAGTACCATGTTTAGATGGAGTAATATCTCAATAACATGTAAATAGCACAACAATCATCAGCATTTACATAGTTGGATTTGATCAAACCAATACCAGATCAACTCAGATTGAGAAATTAGAATATAATAAAAAATTGGCTATCAATGGCATTTAGTTGTAATATAAAACATAATAATATTATATAGTTCTGATTAATGGGATAGTAACATTATTTGTTAACACTATGCCTGCTGATTTACACCAGAACATCAACATGGACAGCCATCTAAGATTGGAATTACAATTGACAGAACTAATACTCCAGCAAAGTGCTTCTTGACTGCTAGGTGGCAAACATAGTAATGTAGCAGGAACTAAGACAGGTAACTTCCAAGTCTTCACATAGGGTAAATATGAACAGCAAAGCCAACCTGCATAAGTACAGGAGTCTAATATCAAGCATCTAGTAAGGGAACAAGCATTTCACAGAAATCTGAAAAAACAAAATGAAGCACAAACCTACCATATTGGGACTTGCATGTTCCGCAGACATCATTGTCTAACTTTGTTCCTCAAGACCATCGAGGCTTGAAGAGAAGTAGAAAACTAGAGCTCATGAAAGCGGAAAGGGATTCGGAGGGTGTATGATGATTTGAATATAGGTTGGTACTAAATGCAACTTGTGAAGAGACATGAGATGAATCTAGAATGAATGAAGGTGGAGAGAACATGTCATGATAGATATGCAGCAAACTGGGAAAAAGTTAGTATTGACATAGAAGGGAGCAAGAGAGGGGACAGCTTCCATCTTCCACCCAGCTTCTTCCTTCCAAAAAGCAGAAGAGCCAGTGAGGAGATATATTGGTGTTCTTTGCAGAGCACCAGGGAGGTCAGGATGGTTGAAGGGTGAGAATCAGTTAGCTAGGAGGTTATATATATGCAAAGAAATGCAAGAAAAGTAGTTTCCCTAGAACTATTTAACATCTGATTGGGGTCTAAGATACTAGAATGTATGCTATCGTTAACAAGCTGCCAGACTATGCTATTCTACCTGAAATGAACTAACCGCAGATGTTTCTGCACTGGCAGAGTGCCACTGTCAGTTCATCACAGGTGCCATGGATGCAAATAAGATTTTATACTACACCTAAAACATCATAGGTGAGCCCAAGCTATGAAGGTATGTCAACTGCCATCCACCCTATCCTTACCCCACTGTCCACCTTAACAACACCTACATATGACAGTTTTCACTACCCAACTTTCAGAAGATGCTTCACCTACAAAACTCCACCTCCACCATAACCTTGACCATACAGTACTACCTAACTTATTATTCTCATTACTCTATACACTACTATGCATGTGAACAACTAAAGTCAGTGGATGATAACCTATGTACACAGACACTACCCTTCCATCCTCCCATCATTCAATGATCGGAAATATCCAGATGGAGAATCCTCCTAAGATTCTCCGTCGCAACAGCAGTTTCATTATCATTGAAGAAGTCAAACCCTGATCCACCCACCGGCGAGGAAGGAGCCGATTTAGCATGCGGCTTCACCTCCACTTCATCAGACCGCTCAAATAGTGGCAATTCAAGTGAGATGCTGCGGTTCTGTCGCAGAGAGAACTTGGGGATTGGGAGCGAACTAGGAGGTGGTGAATTGGAGAATGCTGGGCCCGCCCACAGCTCAGGGCGGGATGGAGGAGAAGTTGAAGGGCTTATTGAGATGGGCCGGCTACGCTTGCCACCACGGCGCTGCAGCTGTTGCTGCTGCTTTGGTGTCTTAGGCTCTGGTGATGAGTACGTGCGAGCAGGCGGAGGTGGTGGGGAGGGCAGGAGGCCAGCACATACACCGGAATGGAAAGACCGGCAGTTCATGCCACGGAAGCCATGGGAGGACGGCGGCGATGAGAAGTGAGGCCCCGTCATCTTGCCTCGGCCACCAGAGTGTTGGTTATGGTGGTTGCGCTGCTGTGAGATAACCACAAGACCCTCCATCGTCGGCGATGGTGATGATGATTGCGGTGGGCGTGAAAGCTCGACACTTCGCGATATAACTTAGGCAGCTTGGAGCAGTAGGTCACCCAAAGCCCTAGTGCAAAACAAACATAAACACACTATGAGACCAGGTGGCATCCCCTTCACTAGTACAATAAACTGAAGTTAGCGCAATCAACTGTAGTTAGAGTAACTACAACAGAAGAAAACAAAAAGGACAGTCTTTAAAGCTAAGTTCAGCATAATCGCAAGACACAACGCTTCTAACAGTTGAGAAACAAACAGAGAACTATCACTAACAATCACAGCACCAACTGGGAGTACTAAATTTCTCAGCGCCACACATCAATCCACAGGAAAACTAAAGCCGCGACGACGATTAGATTCATGATGATACTGTAGCAACAAATTCCACGGGAAGAAAAGGGATTATTCCTTTTCGATGGGGGTTACCTTCCAGATCTACAGCCGATGCGCAAGTCGAATCCTCCACAGAAATCGTCGTCTCCACCAACCAACCAGACTCTCCTCTTCCTCTCCTCCGATTCTCCGTCAGATCCACCACCCACACGGATCAGCACACACTGCATCCATCCACACGAGCACCCCATTCAATCAAAACCGCCCCAAAAAAATCATCACCGAGAAACACAAACATAACCCCTCAGCCCCCAACCCACCAGATCCAATCCGAGCGAATCTCTCCACTCCCAGCACCGGAAATCCAAAACAAAAAAAAAAAACACCACCGCGATCAGGAGAAGACGGCGCGTCGATCTATGGCACCAGCAACCGGATCCGGGTAGAGGAAAATCCTCCCGAAAAAGAGGAAATCTCGTTGGGGCGAGAGCTCGAGAGGTGGAAGAGAGGGGAAGAGGGGAGTAGTGGAGCGGACGCGAGAGGGGACAAGTAGAGAGAGAGGAAGCGACGGACGGACTCGAGGCGGTTGATCCGCCGCTGGATTTGATAAAAGATCTTGGCGTCCGGGGTGATCTGGGCCGTTGGATCGGGTGTGGGAGGCTCGAATGGACGGTGATCGTGCGGGGGAGGGGGTGGCTTGGGGCTGAGGAGTGGGGGGCTCTCCGGTGTTTTGGGGTTAATCACGGATGTGTGCCGCTTGGGGAGTTGGGTTATTGAGCACTTTTGTTGGAGCTAATCCACTTGGTCATTTGTAGAAAGATGCTTATCAAAAGTGCTTTCCTTTTTTTTCTTGTAGGGGTAATCCAAAGTGCTTTCTAAACAAGTGTTTGCTAAAGTATCCTCAATGAGCAAATACTACCTCCATCATAAAATAATTGTAATTCTAGATTCTTTAGTACAATAGGTGGATTAGTAGTTGAGGGTAAAACAAGAAGAAATTTGAATGAAAAAGTAATTAATGAGACTATTAGTACTCCATTGTGACAATTAATTTGGGACATATTCAAATCCTAAAAATACAAATATTATGGGACAAAGATAGCAGTGATACGTAACTAAGCAAACGCTACCAGTTATTTAGTTTAGAATAAATTTTATGAGTCACATTTTATTATCGAAGTTTCGATTTGGATAACATTTTAACCAATATTTTTATTTGGATCATATTTTATTACCGATGTCGGTCGAATTTAATCCTGACATGGAAGTTAGTTTTCCCCTTTTCCCTCTTTGCAGAACTTTTTTTTCTAGTTATTTACAAACAGGGAGGAACGCGAATTGAAATTAACAAAGAGATGGACTTGAAAGAACATTTTTTTCACAAGTTATTCTCAAGTGGAATGGAAAGTAAACTATCTGCAATTTGGCTATTCATGTCCAAGTTGAGATTTCCCTATAGTTGTAAATTTTGTCTTAAGGCAAATTTTGACATAAGACACTTAAAATTGTTATACTTTGCTGGTAAATATTGTAAAAATGTGTGATGGTTGAAAGACACCTGAAAAATTGATAATTTGCTAGAGAATACTTCTAGCCTGATCAAAGAGAAAAACTCTTTAAAATGACGCGAATGCCCCTAAAACCAAAAGCTTCTGAACTGACGCTGGATTGATATGATGTATGCTAGCAATGTGCATCGGATGATAGAAAATTTAGAATTGGCTTGCATCCTCATGGACATTCTCATCTATTTGAAAATTTCTTCAATTGGACTAAAAGTGTCATCCAACAAATTACCAAAATTTGAGGGTGTCCTCCCACTGCAGCATGTATTTGTGATGTTTGCCAACAAATTACATACACTATAAGTGTCCTTTTCTTAAACACTTTTTAAGAAAAATCTTCATCCAGGGCGGCAAAAATCATGAGTCACGTCATTTTGCTAGTTCAACAGTGTCAAGAACATGAATAGTAAACTGTTGTACATTGACCAGGTTAAGGATAAATAATGATAACAGATCAGAATGTGATCAGGTACTACTAGTACCATGACTGTATTTCAAAGACTTCAATTGCACTAAACAAGAATTTTCTAAATCCTTCCTGTGAGTCTCAACATCGGCAAGTAAAGCCACACGTCGAGTATATATTCCTCACCGGCACTGCACATAAAGCAACACTACATCGACTTCATCCGTGCCTCTGAATTCTGATTCTGGGTGCTACTTTACAGTACTGAATATATACCTTGTGTTTTAGACTGTAATCCATCAGATTACAGATGAATCCACTTCAAAAATCTCTCAAATTAGTTAAGCATACCAAAGTTTAATTACTCTGAGACTTTTAACTTTCAGCAGTGGCACTGGCAAACACTATTCTGAACAGTAAGCTTTTGGCCATCAACTCTGTCAAGAGAGATGGGCAGCTTTTGACCAGATGATCAAATCCATCAGCCCCTTCATACACCAGGGTGGGGGCACCAGTGAGAGAGATCGGCAGGTCATGGGGCCATCCGAATCGGTGAGGTCAGCAAACGGAAGTTCACTGCGACAACGAGATCGGCGTTGTCTTCGTTGAGGACAGAGAAGAGGGGATGATGCGAGGCTGAGAGTGTGGGGGGCGAGGACAAGGGGCACCATCGACAAGGTGGAGGTGGTCGTTTCCTGGTGTGGGAGGCGATTCTGGTGTTGACAAAGTAGACAGGAGGTGGTCGCCAGGTGCTTCCTGCATGTCTCAAGCTTGCCGCATCGTGCTCCTTGCTAGCTCCTCGCTGCTCGTCTCCATTGTTTACAGGTACGTCATCCTCAGCTAATTATCAGGTACCAGACTTGATAGGTATCAAGCCTGATACCCACCGGTATTAGACTTGGTACCCAAGTATCAGCCGATACCCATAGTTATCAGGTGCCAAGTACCAGGTATCAAGTATCAGGTGCCAAGTACTAGGTATTAGGTATCAGGTGCCAAGTACTAGGTATCAGTTATCATGTCGCGAGGAGGAAGCGCAGGTTGTCACTTTCTAGCCGGCTAGTTAGCCATTTACCACCGATTTCTCCTCTCCTCTTCTCCCTCCTCTCCTATTCTCCCTTTCTCTCCTCGACACACTCCCTCCTTTCCCTACTGTTGATGCGGCTCACGAGGGGAGGAGCCAACTAGCGGAGCTGTGCATCACCCGTGTATGAAAGCTGCCATGGCTACTCCAGCTAGATGCAACGATGCATAGACAACGCTGACGAGCTGTCGGGTAGGAACCTGGTTGGGGAAGGCGCGGTCCTGCTCAAAGTAGTTGCGGCGGCGCTCCGCGCCACCGCAGGCGAGGTATTGCCCGTGGAGGCGCATGATACCGAGTAGGCTCTTGGATGGGGAAGGCGTCGCCGGCGAGGTTTTTGCGTGGAGGTGGTAGGTAGGGGGAATCGTGTGGATGGCGTGGCACTTGGTCGAAAATGGAATGTATTAAATCGGCCGAGGGTGTTTAGTTATCCCGTGACTTTCATGTTGTAACAGAATCCCATGCGGTAGCTGCCCTCTTTGTTTAGTGTCTTTCAGGAAAACTATATTCATCCTTTAAGAGAATATCCCATTATTTTTACATTTCACTTAAAAAGGTTATCAAAAAAAATTTAGTAAGATAGATTAATATAAAAATTTAGTAAGATAGATTAATACGTGACATGTCACTTCACAAACATGCATATTCAAATTCAACTTATATAAGTAGAAACAAAACAACAAATTTGACTATGAATAGAACGCATAATTCACGGTCAAATTTGTTTTTTTGTTTCGAATTGTATAAGTCAAATTTTAACTTGCATGTTTGCGACAAGATATATCATATATTCATCTATCTTGACAAACTTTTTGTCACGCCCCGAACTAGTACCGACCGGAATAGCCCGTGACGCTCCAAATTAACCTGTAATTCGATATCAGTCCCAGGAAACAGTGCTGGTATCACAGGAAGACAGATTATCACAGCAACAGAGGTCTCTTTAATATAGAGTAGAGGTACAGTCATGTTGGGCTGCGGACAGATCCCGAGCTCACAACTGCATTACAAAAGGGAAACGGAAGCCAGGACTTGGACCAAACAACACAGGCGCGACTTGGGAACTAGGCCGAAACCCTAAAACTCATCGTAGCCGGCTTGCTCCTGGAAGAACTCCACATCAGCAGGATCCGCTTCATCTTCTTCAGCAACTAGGGGGATTATTTATATAGAGCAAGGGTGAGTACGGGAGTACTCAGCAAGCCAGGGGAAATAAGTGTTTAATGCAGGCTTCAAGGAGAGGCTGGTGTTTTTGCAATTGATTTTATTTGAACTCTTTTCTGAAACAACTAAATGAGTGCTTCTCAAACGACACGGATGAGACAGTGCGTCTCGTCCGGTCGGAGTATGTGCAATGTATCAGTCTTTAGATTTTGAAACGAGGTTGGCACCCGGCCAACAGCTTTTCAAACGGCCACTCGGGCCAACAACTTTCAAACGGCCACCCGGGCCTAGCTGATTCCATCAGCTACAGATTTTTCAAACATCGAACCCCTTTCCACAACAGCAATTTCACAAGCAGAAGTTAAACAAAACTACGCTAGGAATCACCTCACATCCGCCCATGACCGTGGGCACGGCTGTTCGAACAGTTTGTTAACCTCTGCAGAGGGGGTACACTTTACCCACACGACATTACTAACCCGGATCACCCAGCCCGTGGGGATCAGCCACGTCGGGAGACCTCCAAGCTTTCATGACAAGGCATTTCCAAAGCCGACACAGGTTTACCATATGCCGCCGAGAGGGGTCCCAGACCAACAACAGGTTAGGTCCCAGACCATACTGTGCCAGGAAGCCCAGGGGTCCTCCCCGACACCACCTCGGCGAATCCACATATCTCTCGGCATCAAGGCTCCCCTGATAAGCTAGTTACTCAGCCAGGGGTGTCCCATTCCACCCATGTGGTCGTACTTGTCTTATGTTTGGATGAAATTCCAAGGAAACGGTCCTTAAGTGCAAGAGCGGGAAACCGTACACCCGGTACGTTCCCCGGTCCGCGGTTTTGGAAATTCATTTAGTTCGCAAGCACCGACCTAGGTGTCGGGTTTTCCAAGTCTTTTGTAAAACCCAAGTTTTACCCAAGTTGTTTTTCAGATTTTAAGTTTGAAGGCGTCCGTCGATACTCGCACTGGGTGCACGAATATCGAGACGCAACTAGATGGTTGCAAGGGGACATGGTATCACAATTAACAAAGGACGGATCAAATGCAACAAATTAGGTAGGTCTGCCAATCTGCCTTGCAGACGGGACAACAGATTAAGTGCGATCCTATCAATGCATAATATTTTTCAAGCAACATAATTAAATTTCAAATATAGGCTCAAGATGTTCAAAGGTGGCTTGCCTTGCTCGAGATCTGGAGCTTGATCCTCGAAATCCTCGCACTGCGGGTCTTCGGGCTCCGAAACTACACGCGAAACGGGACAACTCAACAAACAGCGAAAATAAAGCCCTATTAATGACCTCTAAGCGTGTCATTAGATAGATCTCGAGATTTGAGGAATTTTGGAAGTTGAACGG